CCTTCACGTTTGGCACCTCGTAAAAGTTTTCGTTCCTTATCGTAATAACTGTTAACTTTTTCCGTTAAATCCAATTAAACAAGGGTTATTTTAGTCTTTTTATTCATTTTGTAATTTTTTATTAAAAAAAAGCATATTATATTTTATATTTCAAAATATCAATGATCTTTTATTCATTTTTTTAATCTTATCACCATCCACCACCATTGACCATACCATTAACTTTTATATTTTAAAATTATCATAACGCCTTTCATTTAATTAAACTTAACGGATAAAGTTAACGGTCTTTAGGATAAGAGACGGAAATCTTTGCGAGGTGTCAAACGTGAGGGATAAATTTGTTAAAATAAAGTTGAGGGATGAAAACTGATGAAATTGACAAACGTTAGGGGACCACAAAAGAACTTTACTCTCCATTTAATTTATATATATACCCCTTACGTTTACCTATTGACCCATACCTTTTTGTATATCTGAAATTTAATTAAAAGAAAAAAAAAACAAAAAGAGACAATAATGACTTCTTTTTCCCCACTATATGTTCCATAATTTCAAAAGAGAAATCATTTAATAGCAGTAGCAGGTGGGTTTAGTCATGCCAAAAATCGATCCCGGGTCCGGTCCAACCTGTCCTAAGATTTTTCATAATCGGTCTCGGTCTCGTTCGAAAAAGTTGTGCCTGGTCAAGTTTTATTGTAATCGGTTATGGGCCGCCGGTCCCAACTAGTCCCGGGCATTAAAAAATAAATTTTTAATGATATATGTTTTTAATACATTATAAAATTTGTAATTGGGTCACTCAAATACACTTTAAAAATGCGTTTTATTATAATTAAAATTACATTGTCTTACAAAATATAGCGATAAACCGATAATTGTGAACGTTTTTTTTGCTTTTTTGTGAATCGAGAACTTGGTATGTAAATCCCTCAACGAATACACCTATATATAGTGTTTAGAAAGCAAAAAATACAAAAAAAGGACAAAAAAACGGCTTGTTTTTTTAAAAATAACGGCTACATTTAAAAAAAAAATAGCGACATTTTTGAAAAATCGGGACGGGCCGGTCCATAACCGGTCCTGGTCCCGCGAAACACCCTAAATCCATAACCGGTCCCAGATTTCGGTCCTATAACCGGTCCCGAACCAAACCGGTCCTTGGCCGGTCCCGGACCGTTTTGGCCGTCACTAGACTTGGATTAAATGAAACTTGTTAGAGACTTAGGGGGTCATAGCCTTCTTACCTTCTTTAGGACCCATATCAATTGGGCCAAAAGGCCCAAAATCTTTCTTGTGGTTCTATAAAATTCTATTTGCCCAAGTCAAACTGGCTTGTTTTTGGGCCTATGTCATCTTGCTATACAACTCTGTGTTATAAATAAGTAATATTTTTAGATCCTATAAACTTGACTCTTATAAAGTATTCTGATAGCACTTAAATAATTTTGGCGTTCTATAAACTCAATTTCGTTGTAGTGAAAATTTTCCAACTTAGCCATTTTGGACGAACACTTTTTAGCCAACTTCTTAGGGTTAAAACCAAAATAGTCAATATTTCACAAGAAATACAAGGCATATGTAGTATGCTCGAAGACTATCAAGAAGTGAAACGGGCAGGCGAAATGACGTGAGAGAAAGAACCTCTTGCTGGAGTCCAGTCCCTGGAACCCAAGTAATCCTGCATAACATCAATCAGTACMGCAAAAGGCTCAAAATATGACTAAGTCTCCAGCTGCTTGCAACATGGGAGCAGAATGTTCAGTTGTAGTCAGTTTATGTTTAATTTATTTAACTAACTTGTTATTTTCAGACTGTTAGAAACTGTTTTTTTGGTTTTTTGTTATCAAACATAAAATATTTCTGCCACTCAACTATAACATACCAAATTAATTAAAAATTATATCCGACGAAATTACAACTTACAACAATCTTAGAATAAGTTTATTTGTGGAATCTCTGATGTTATAAGGATATATAAAAATAATTAAATTTAAAAAGGTATATTTTTCTCCCATAATATAAACTTAAAATTTATCGAGCATTTTTTGACGTTTTAATACGTGTTTTACGATAATTTTAAAATAAAAGATCTACTAAATACTTTTATATGATATTATTTGAAAACATGTCTTATAAAAACAACTGTCCTATAAATGGATGTGTTTATTAAACAATTATCAAGAATATCCTATAAAAGAGTTAATAGAACATTTTATTTCATGTTTATAAAAAAACGCCATATGAACTTATTGTAACGGTTTTAGATAAAACACATAATTGTTTGGTTTTATACGCTCCAGTCTTATAAAAGCAGTCTATTTACACACTTTTGTCGTCATATAGAAAACCCCATTTTATTGTCGTCATATACACTCCTCTCACGTGAAGAAATGAGAATATATTTGTGGCTCATCAATAACTTATCGAATATGTAATTACAAGGAGGTTCAAATAAGAAAGGAAAAAAAATGTTGCAAACGTACAAATAAACGATTCATATGTGAATTATTGGTAAAATCAAACGTGGGCTAAAAGACATCTTCATATATGAATAATTGGTAAAAAGATAGATAAGCGAATGTGGGGTTACAAATGCATTTTTGAATGAATATTTTTGGTTTACCAATGATTCACATATGAATCAATTATTTTAACGTGCTCGACCTTTTTGCCTTTCTTAATTGAACAACTGCCATGTAATTAGACGATAATTTTTCTGGTTATTATTAACATATGGAATATTTGATTCAATAAATGTTAATTTATTTAATTTTACTCATAAAATGATAATAGTAGTAGCTACATCTTGGGCAACAAATTACAGAAAAAAAGAAAAAAATCATAGAAATGGTATTCTGTTCATTTATATTTCAAAATTACATTTTGTGAACCAAACAAATGTATTCTATTCCATTTTTTTATTAACCTGGATATCCAACCCGTTATGCGAGCCGACTAATTCCAGGGCGACCACCTGCAAAGCAGATAGCTCGGAGTCACCACATTTGAACCTCCGTGGCCACAAGATGATTTTTATTCCTTCTTGGATTTGAACTTGTGATCTCCAGATATTTTTGACCTTTGAAGCTAAGCTCAAACCAACCAGGTACCACTCTTGTGATTTTCTATTCCATTTCTTGTCAAATATATGATTAAATTACATTCGCATTCCTTAATTCCAATTCTTTAACATATTTATTTCTTAAAAACATGAATACGAATCAAACCCTCAAATGATTTGTTAAATATTGCTCACGTCGATAGAAATAATTGAAGTATTTTATGTTTTAGAATATAAGACTTAATTAATTAGGATCAAGATTTTGAGGTCATCATTTTTTTGTGAACCACGTTAATTTTCTATGAGAGAAAACTTCATCCACTATGGACTTGGATCTCTTCGATTTGTCCAAGAAAAAAAAAGCAAAAAGCAAAAAGCAAAAACAATCAATATGATCGTAGACTCGTTGATAATGAAGTATCAATTGTCATTTCTATTGATTTTCAATCGACCTATCTAGTTATAAGTATTTTTTTTGGCAACCCACGTACGACAAAAATGTGTAAATGACCTACAAATCGTGTTATTATCGTTGCTGTTTTTGTTTTTATTGTTATTATTATTGGTAGTATCATTATTTAAGTTACTAATGACATGTTAATGGATGGATGATTCAGCAAAAAAAGTGACGTTATCACCTCATCGTATAGGTCTGACAACCATGATGGAGTAAATCACGTGTACGAGTTGTGTTAGAGTCCTACATTAGTTTGATTTGTATCATTTATTCTCTATATACGACTGAAACCTCCTCTCTGCAATGGTTTTTTTAGAGAGTAATATGAGGGTTTTACATACTCTTACTTGATACCAAAGTCAAAGTCTACCACTATAGGGACTCAATACTCGAGCAATCTGTACTTGTCTAATCCCCTCTTGACACCCTGGGACAATCTATTCCATCTAGCCTTTGTTAAAGGAGACATGTTATATAAAATCTCACATTAATTAGATTTAACCATTTATTTTATGTCGGAACATCCTTTATCTTCTCAAAGACTCTTATCTGGGGTAATATTCTTATTCCAAGGATATATAGATACGTACTGCTAAAGTTGAACTTCAAATCTCTCAATTATTTTGTAACGATGTCCACCTCCTTATACACCTCATTACGCACACATTAAAATTGAGGGGATCTAATGGATGTATCATGTTCTATCATCCCAAATATGGTTTCCAAATAAAAGGCCCCTTCATTTGTATTGGACAAGATTCAGTCATTCTAATCAAGTTAAGAAATTAAATTTTAAAAAGAGTTTCTAGATGTTGATCAATAAACAATTCCTTCGGGTTTCACAAATAAAGAGTACTTAATTTATGAACGATCGTTCTAACTCCGTACCTTTGATTCCTTAATTAGGATAATCTTACACCATTAATTAGAATAATCCATTTTCTTGATCTTCTGGTCCAGACAAGGCTGATATGCCAGCCTTTACTGTTTCTAAAACACATCCATTCGTAGGTATATATTTGTAGCTAGGTGTATTTTATGGTTTTTTATATATACCCATGCATTTGTGAATACTTGGTCACGAGTTGGTGGTTCCTGCATATAAATATATGCAAATCGCAGATATTTTTATACATAAAAATCAAGTGAATATATATATGGATATATATATATATATATATGTGGATGCACCCAACACCACCCGTTGTATAGTAATCATAGTTTATAGAAAGATTAGCACCAAAAAGATTAGATTTTTAGGTTGGTGAATGGTGCCAATGATGATTGGGGAGGCAATGGACAAACATCACAGCTCATATATACTTCAAAATAATCCAGTAGATGCCAAAAGTTGCCTTTGAACCCCACTACGTCCATTGCTTCTTCTGTCCCTATAAATGCTCTTTAACATCATCTTTCTTTACCAAACTGAACATTATCTCAATTCTTGAATTTTGCCTTAGTTTTACAGAAAGTGCAACTAGATGGAAGGCTCATCATCCACATCTCATTTCCGATCTGTTAGTCTGCCTTCTAGGTTAACCAACCCTTCTTGTACCAAGATTGAAACGAAGATCAACGAGCTGAAAGCGCTGGGAAACTTGGTGGTTTCGGGTGAAACCATTCAAAGCGGTTTGGTTGGGTTGGCGGAGTTGTATGTTTGCGTGGAGGAGCTTGTTCTGTCTCCCAAAACCCAACCAGCGTTTTTATGCCACCAAAATGGAACCTTGGTTGAAGATGCCTTGGAGGGGTCGATTGGGTTGCTAGATTTGTGTAGCACCATCAAAGACTTGCTCATGCTAATGAGGGAAAACGTGCAAATCCTTCAATCAGCCTTAAGAAGGAAAGGTGGCAATCCAACAGTTGCTACCCACATTGCAACATATCTATCCTTTAGGAAAAAAACAAAGAAGAACGTCACCAAGAGCCTTGGGACACTAAAGCATCTAGAAAAGAAAATGGGTTCATTTCTCGTTCGAGATGTAGATTGCCATGTGCCAATGGCGAGTAAAGTTCTTGGAGATGTTTATGCACTCACAATCTCTCAATTTAAATCCCTTTTGGTCTTCGTATCAACCAAGACCAAGCCGACTAATGGGGTTCAACTCATATCGAAGTTGGTGTCCAAGAGTACATCAGAACATGCAAAAAGGAAGACGTTTATCAATGATATGGAAACCATTGATTTGGCTCTCACATCACTACAGAAAAGTTCGTGCAACAGTGACACCAAGAATGTTGATGTCCAAATGACACTAAAGAGATTGCAAATTCTTGATGCAAGTCTTGAAGGGTTCGAGGCTGGATTGGATTGCGTTTTCAGGAGATTAATTCAAACACGAGCTTCCCTTCTCAATGTCGTAGCTTGTTAGACATCCCAAGTTTTTATATGCCAGTTTTGTGCACGTTTTAAAGGCATTTGCTGGTGTTTTGTAACAACGTTTTGCATGCGTTTTACAAGTAATGTACATTATCATCAATATGATCTCGCTTTAATTTTGTTTCATTATTTTGGCATTGATATCGGTTTTCCTATTCGAAAAACATCCAAGATGTATTTACGAAATTAGAAATTTCCTGAATATTTTCAATAAAACAAATTGGTGCAATCCTTTGGAAGTCTGTAGGTATATTTTTAGTCTACTACAACAAAATTGGGTTTATAGGACACTCTCAATCTCTAAGTGTCCCAATAGACTGCTTTATAGAACTTAATTTATAGGACCAAAATATAAAACGTTCTATCTAAAGGTGTTGTAATAAGTTTATACGACACTTTTGAGCGTCTTAACAAGTTTTTAAGAACATTTTTAATAAAAAAGTGTCGCATTAGCACTTTATAAGACACTTTTGAGAAATTGTCCTATAAACTCAATTTTTTGCACAACACTTGTTTTTATAGGACATTTTTTCAAAAAGTGTCCTATAAAGTTGATAACGAGACACTTTATATTAAAAGTGTCCTAAAAAACTTATTACGACATCAAAAAAGGTCATATAAACTTAATACAACACCATTAGATATGACACTTTATTTTTTTGGTCATATAAACTAAGTCCTATAAAGAGGTCTATTATGACACTTACAACTTGGGAGTGTCCTATAAACCCCATTTTGTTGTAGTGGTCCTTCGTACTTCCTATAATTACCACGTGAATATATGTAATTAAATGCACTGGAGAGGTAAAATTTGGAAGTTGGAACCTCCGTTCTGTTTACATGGATTTATGGAGGGAATTATGGTTTTGTTTCCCATGGCATGTATGACTCCCTTGACCCAATAGATGAGGAGTAGATGCAAGTAATTTAAGAAATGTGGACATGAAAGTAACGAGTGCAAGATGCAGCAAGTCAAAAATATATGTAATTAAGGTTGAAGAGGTGGGTTTTCAAGACTGTTTGTAATGTAGCATACTTGACAAAAGATGGGTCAAACATCAGCTTACTAAGTTTATGAACCCTAACTAAATTTAAGCCAGGCTTTGGTAATGTTACTTCTGCAGATGGGACCAAAGGAACTGTGTTGGGTGTAGAAGACATATATATGTTGCCAAAATATACCTCAACTGATAGGTGCAATATTATCATTACAGAACTAAAGGAAATTTTAATAAGCAAAAAATGATCAATTGCATGAAGAAGAATTGGGATGTGAAGTTTCACTAATCCAACAAGACTATCTGAAGCAATAAGATGCTCTTGATAAAATTTGCCTGTAGATCAAAGATACACTCAAGTTGAAGGAGTGAACTTTGATGAAATTTGCCTTAATTAGTTGCACTATCGGAAGTATTAGATTTAGTATTTCATGTCATACATGGAAAGAGATATTTTGGGTTTTAGATGAGGATCTTTATATGTTYGGTAGTGATCTTTTATATTTGGTAGTTATCTTTATTATGCATTATATATTGAGATGAGGAGATAATGAGAAAAGGCAATCAAACAATTTATTCTATTATGGTATCAGAGCCGAAAACACATTCTTCTCCCTCCCAACTCTTCTAATCGGCACCGCCGCCCGCCGCCATCCGATACCATGACTGGTTCAACTACCGCCGCCGATTCTTCATCCATGTCTGGTTCTTCATCTACACCCTTTCACCCGGCCCTTACGGTCAATTCCAATGGGAAAGAATATAAAAATTCACAATTTCTTCAATTTTGCTCTAATAAAGGCATTCATATTCGTTTTTCATGTCAATACACATCTCCCCAAAATGGAAAAGCGGAATGGAAACTTCAAACCTTAAATAAAGCCACCCGCACCTTGTTACTTCATGGTCACATTCCACCATCATTCTGGCCATATGCTCTCTAAACGGCTACCTATCTCCATAATATTCTTCCCTCGAAAATTTTGTCCTATAACTCTCCCACACAAATCCTCTACCACCAAATTCCATCCTATTCCCATTTATGGGTATTTGGGTGTCTATGCTTTTCTCACAAACCACCCTCCACCATCCATAAACTTGCCCCTCGCTCCACTCCTTGTGTGTTTCTGGGTTATCCGTAAAACCATCGGGGTTATCATTGTTTCGATATGGTGTCTAAACGATTTTATATCTCTCGTCATGTTACCTTTGATGAGTCGGTTTTCTCTTTTTCACACAAGCATACGCCCACAGCCACCTACGATTTTTTGGACACTCCTACTCATCCTATTTTCGGTTCCCTTCCCCATCCATGAAACCGCCATCATCTCCTTTATCGCCTCCATCCAATCCCTCACCGCCATCCACATTCCCGTCTCTTTCACCGCACGTCCCTTCCACGACCGAACCTCCACTCATCCCCAACTTTTCCACACATCCCATGACTATCCGTAGTCGGGTTGGGATCACAAAACCCAATCCCAGGTATGCTTTGTCTGCCGTGTCTTCAATCGTGTCACTAGTTCCCACTTATCATTTAGATGCTATCCGGGATCCTAATTGGAAGAATGCCATGCTTGATGAGTATAAATAAATTATTACTAACGATACTTGGGAGTTTGTGCCTCGCCCTTCGGGTGTTAATGTCATTCGATGTATGTGGGTGTTCACCCATAAATTTCATGCGAATGGTTCTCTTGAGCGGTATAAGGCTCGTTTGGTTGTAAATGGCAGATCTCAACAGGTGGGAGTGGATTATTACGAGACTTTTTCACCGGTGGTGAAACCAGCAACGATCCATACAATTATGACACTAGCTCTTTCTAAAAAATGGGATATTCGGCAATTGGATGTGAAAAATGCTTTCCTTCATGGGAACCTTAATGAGACAGTGTTTATGCATTAGCCTCCGGGTTTTAAAGACACCCAGTTCCCGAATCATGTCTGCCGCCTTAAAAGCTCTCTTTATGGCTTAAACAAGCCCCTCACGCGTGGTACACTCGTTTTGCTACGTTTGTTACCTCTATAGGTTTCAAGCATAGTCGGTCTGACAACTTGTTATTTGTTTATCATAATGGGGGTCACATGGCGTATCTCTTGTTATATGTGGATGACATCATTTTGACTGCCTCATCCCCTTCTCTTTGGCGATCCATTGTTGCCCGTTTAAATTCCGAGTTTGCTATGAAAGACCTCGGGGAGCTAAATCATTTCTTGGGGATTTCGGTTTCTCAGGATGCCCATGGATTATTTCTCTCGCAATCCAAGTATGCGGCTGATATACTGGATCGGGCAAATATGAGTAATTGCAATTCTGTGGCTACTCCGATCAATACAAGTAGAAAGTTAAGTGCGTCTTCTGGTCCGCCGATGGCAGACCCCACTCTTTATCGCAGTCTTGCGGGGGCTCTTCAATATTTGACTTTTACACGACCCGATATTTCTCATGGAGTGCAGCAAGTTTGTCTCTGTATGCAAGATCCACGAGAACCTCATTTTTCAAGCTTTACGTCGTATTTTGCGCTACATCAAAGGGACACTTAAGCTGGGATTACAGTTGTCCCCTGCATCATCCAACCACTTGGTTGTCTATACTAACGCGGACTGGGGTGGTTGTCCGGACACTCGTCGGTCCACGTCCGAGTATTGTGTTTTCTTTGGAGACTCTCTTATATCTTGGTCATCTAAACGCCAGGCCACTGTCTCCCGATCTAGTGCCGAGGCTGAATATCAGGGGGTTGCAAATGTTGTCTCCGAAACATGTTGGATACACAATCTTCTTCTAGAGTTGCTTTGTCCGATCACGAAGGCCACATTCGTGTATTCTGATAATGTCAGTACGGTTTATCTCTCCGGCAACCCCGTCCAACATCATCGTACGAAACATGTCGAGCTAGATATTCATTTTGTGCGTGATTTGGTTGCACGAGGACAGGTTCGTGTTTTACATGTTCCTTCACGATTTTAGTTTACTGACGTGTTTACTAAGGGTCTTCCACGGGTACTCGTTGAAGAATTTTGATCGAGTCTTCGCGTTCGATCACCCCTCTCTTCGACTGCGGGGGCATATTAGATTTAGTATTTCATGTCATACTTGGAAAGAGATATTTTGGGTTTTAGATGAGGATCTTTATTTGTTTGGTAGTGATCTTTTATATTTGGTAGTTATCCTTATTATGTATTATATATTGAGGTGAGGAGATAATGAGAAAAGACAATCAAACCATTTATTCTATTAGGAAGCATGATGCTCTTGTTTCATGCCCAATGAAGTTTAAGATTTGTCATAGGGATGTTAATTAGAACACTCTCTTGAATGGGATACTCTAAGAAGATTTACAAGTTGAGCAACCATATATGGATTCAATGATCCTCACATCCAGAACATGTATTCAAGCTGCAAAATACTATTTATGGGTTATAACAAACCCCCCAGAGCTTGTTATGAAAGGCTAACTGATTCGAGACTCCAAATGATAGAAAAGAGGTATAGTAGCATGAACAAATTAAACACTAGTCATCAACGAAATTAAAGAGGACGTAAGCATCGTCCAAAGATATGTTATCGACATAAAATTAATTAGATCTACCTCACTAAGAGTGACTAAAAACTATATCAACTGAAATGATTAAATAAAGAAAGACTTTTGAGACAGATATTGATGGAGACCTCAATTACCTTTTTTAGTAGCAAATCTAATAATATCGACAAGAAATTTATCTCAAAGAGTAATTATCCAAAGAAATATCATCAAGATGTTTGGTCGACAAGTGTTGAAAGCATGCTAAGACATCAATGGGTAGTACTCATGATTAACTTAGAAAGATAAGAGTGGTTCCATTCGATCAAATTAAAAGCTAGCTTTACAGGAGTACGATTGAGACTCTTCCAAGTAGTGAAGGGAAAAAGGCGTAACAACGGTGACAACATTGCGGAATAAACATATATTCGTTGGACAAAAATTTCCCAACTCATATGAATCTTTTGACGATA